TGTATATATATACTAATATTGAAATGTGTATGTGTGTATATACTAATATTGAAGTGTGTGTGTATATATATACTAATATTGAAGTGTGTGTGTGTGTATATACTAATATTGAAGTGTGTGTGTGTATATATATACTAATATTGAAGTGTGTGTGTGTGTATACATATATATACTAATATTGAAGGACAATAATGTTATTGAATTAAAAATATCTTAAAATTTTAAATCTCAACATCTGAGAACACTTGAAGTTGATGTATTTGATTTTCTATTACAAAGTCACTGACACTCAGGTAATAAAATTTACACACTTAAGTATTGTTTTTAAATGTAATTAGGAATATAAACAGAAAAACAGAAGCACTGTAACAGTATATCGGAATGAAGTTCATACAAATGTTTTTTACAAAAGTGTATGCACAAACACACAACTGATTACAGTTTTATTGATTGATTAGCAAAAGAGGTTACAAGCATAATTTAACCTTATTTTTGATAATTATGATTCACATTACAGGTTCAATAATCTGTCTGAACACACCTCATTGCAGCTATCTTGGGTGATGTGAACATTTCTTGCAAAGCTTGCTCTATTTGTCCCATGCCTACAAGGTGTCTTGAGCCCTTTTCTGGACTTGCTTTGTGTTTAGACTCTAGTTTAGTTATCTCAGTTGCTCTACGACAAATGTCCAAGGCTCTTCTTGCATCACCTGATATTGCAGCAACCTGAGTGAGGAAACAGAAAGTAAATAAATGATAAATAACCTATTATAATGAATTCTAGTTCCATACTTATGTATTACTCCATATGACTATCCTTATTATCATCAACTGCCTTGTTTTCTTTAAATAACACAAGTTCACACCAAATATTTTAACATTTTTGTTTCAGCTTGGTTTTTAGGTATTAGCTAGTTCAAACAAAAGTGTTTAATTAAAAAGAGATTATATGTGCTTCTATTTAATTTGTACAGTAAAACATATTTCATAAAAATAATAATTTCTGAAATCATTTTCAACTATATCTTAAGAGAATATTCATTGTTCCTTCACATCTGTAATACAGATTTCAGTGATTTCTACCCATATATATATTATTCTGAAATTTCTTCCACTGATAAAAGTTGGTAACAGTTCAGTTTAATTCTTGTACACTACTCATGTTTCGCTTGTTACAAAAATCCAATCAAGTCTCAACTCAGTCTATCAAAAGTGTGACATGACAAGAATATGATTCCAGATTTGAGGTGTCAGACAATAATAACACAAAACTAACACAAAAATCCAATCAAGTCTCAACTCAGTCTATCAAAAGTGTGACATGACAAAAATATGATTCCAGATTTGAGGTGTCAGACAATAATAACACAAAACTAGCACAAAAATCCAGTCAAGTCTTAAATCAGTCTATCAAAAGTGTGACATGACAAGAATATGATTCCAGATTTGAAGTGTCAGACAATAATAACACAAAACTAGCACAAAAATCCAGTCAAGTCTTAAATCAGTCTATCAAAAGTGTGACATGACAAGAATATGATTCCAGATTTGAGGTGTCAGACAGTAATAACACAAAACTAGCACAAAAATCCAATCAGGTCTCAACTCAGTCTATCAAAAGTGTGACATGACAAAAATATGATTCCAGGTTTGAAGACAATAATAACACAAAATTAACACAAAAATCCAGTCAAGTCTTAAATCAGTCTATCAAAAGTGTGACATGACAAGAATATGATTCCAGGTTTGAGGTGTCAGACAATAATAACACAAAACTAACACAAAAATCCAATCAAGTCTCAACTCAGTCTATCAAAAGTGTGACATGACAAGAGGACAGTTCCAAATTTGAAATGTCAGAGATAATAAACCAAAACTAGCACAAAAGAGGGAACCAAGGATGTGTATGCAACCAAAAAAATTCATCGAAGAGAGTCCTTAAAAGTTAAAAACAGCAAAGGCATATGAATAAAAATACCACTCCTGCAAGAAGGCATCAATATTTCTCCGAGGTCATCTGGGACTAAAAGATGAAAAGTTTGATGTGGAGGAAATGTGTGAAGCTTTTACCAATGTGTGCTAGCAGCTAAATCTGGTTAAAAGTGCCCCAGAAACATAAAATTAAAACATAAGTAGACCAGTTAATCAACAGCCAAAGAGATGTGGTCTTAGAGGAACACAGATATAAAAGATAGCTCATGTCGATTTAACCTCCCAATAAAAATGATTTGTAGATAGGAGGCATACATACAAACATAAAACAGACTAGTGGAGATATGTTATCAAAAATATCACAAAAGTACCTTATTTATAAAAAAATTTAAAAGGCTAATAAAAAAATCCTACAATCCTAAAAGATATAATCAACTCAGTTCTGAAAACGTTCTTAATGAGTTCATCCAATTCAACTTAAGAGATGTCTTCAAATGAAAAAACAAAATTGTAACTATTACTAATCATAAAAGTCTGAAAAACACAACTGAAAACTGTAAGATTTTTTCATCTTTATACAGGTATTGAAAGGATGTTCCATATGTGCTTTCAAGATTGGTAAATAAAATGTTCTAAATGTTGGAAAACCAAGACATTATAGATTTAGATACAAGTATAAATTATGAGATTTATGTAACAGTTTTCTATTAAATGAATTTTAAAACATGAAGTTCAGTTACCATAAAAATCATGTTGTTAAATCTTTTGTATGTAGTTACCCTCCATCATATCTAAGTGGATAATCTTTTTTGAATTGGGTTTTACAACTAAATATTTTTCTCAATGTTTTTTATGTAAACATGTAATTTGGTTGTATAATTAAGATACAAAATAAAAAAAATTAAAACATTTGTTAGATATACATGACTAGATTTACGTTTAATGCGAGTGTTATGATTTAGACAGATTAAGTATAGCACGAGTGTTATGATTTAGACAGGTTAAGTATAGCGCGAGTGTTAAATTTAGTTATTTTTAGAAGTGATAGTTTATCACAGGTTTGTTTACATAACTGTTTATGAATCATACGCTGTGTAGTCCAATTATTGTGATTTGGTGATTGTTGCATAGTGTTACTAGAACCTTCTACATTTTTCTCATTGTTTAAATTGAGCATTATTGCATCATAATATCTCACAGTGTGTGGTACGTCTAGGACTCAGTCGGGCTATAAATACGAGTCCAAAATGTTGTTTAATTTTGTTATATACTTAGTTAGATCTGCACTTCTACCAAATATCATTACAGTGATAAATAACTTATTAGTTTATATTTTGATATAATTTTCATACATTACATGTTTAGATCAATATGAAGCAATACTGTCTATTACTGTATTTCTTAATAATGATTTGAAAGAAAGAAAATATTTTTGTAATCATAAGGAAAGTCATAGCTTTGTGATTATATACACATGTATATATAAACTAGCATACAAAGGTATGTATTGATAAAGGTTAGTAAATTATGACATTAAGCATTAGTTAAAAATAAAAAAATCAGGTTTCTCAATACATTTTAGTTTATCTTTGTTGATGGCAGTACAAAAACCAAGACTAACTATTTAGTTATAAAACCTTAATGTCCAATGCAACAACATAAGATTTTCCTAAATACTTGTTATATATCATCTATAGTCTTTCAAACTTATAGGCTCATTTTAGTGTTTACATAAAATATCTGTCAATTATACATAGATTTTACAGGTCTCTATAATTATACGTTGGTAGAATACCACATTGTAGCATACAAGGTCTAAGAAATGCTAATTCTTTCATGGTTATAAGCCTTCATGAAATTTTTTCAGAGTGATAGTCAAATCTTAGTTTGTGAAAAGTGATTCAGAATATGGTAGTATGTTTTGTTTGTTTTTGGCCAGGTACCGTATTTTCTTTTTCACTCTTTTATTATTCATTTTTATATACAGTTTTCCCCTGTCTCCTTGCCAACTATACTTGTGTTATTGTACTACTCTGTGCTCCCTATTTTCTGACCATTGACTATCTCTTTACCCTGTGGCTATTCACCTGCACTATGGTTTTTTTGTTCTAAAGAAGGCTATTTAGGTGAAAACTACCCTTTCTTTTGAAACACTCTACAATCATATTGTGATTTTGCTTTAATAAAATACAATAATTGCCTTTAGATCTATATTTTTTGAGATATCTTGTTGATATTTTCTCTCTTTGTTTATTTTTGCTGTACTGATTGTGAAGGTCATCCACTGAGCATTCAGTGTCGGTTAGGTGTATTGACAATGCTTGTTATTGGCTAACAAAATAGTAACCAAAGCAATACAGTGTCCACTTGTCCCTTGCAAACAAAAATAATACTTCATTACAACAGTTTGTACTTGACACATGTGCTGGAAACATAGCTAAAACAAAAGGAAAATTTCCCAGTTGAAGATGAAATAATCCTGGGAATAATTTTAAAAAACATAGGTATACAAGTCACTAAACCTTTTTTCAGAGCATCACAGAGAAAAGCATTCTGTCTGACTTTCAATTATAGACAGAACTGAAGCCTCACAAGCAGCAGAAAGGTACGTTTATGTGAATGAATGTGTAAATTTAATTTATATGTATCAACATAAAGGTTTTTCTATTACCAGGATATAAGATAACCTCAATATGTGTGTGTATATATACATTTCTATTACTTTTCAGTCTGAGTGATACCAAAGAACTACCACTGTGATAGAAAGATAACCATGCACTGGCATCAACAATCCTGGCCTAGAGAGACTCGTGAGAAGATTAATTGTTGACATGGTCCATTTCATCACAGAAGTGGGAGGTTATCACATAATTCATTCAGTTGCCCAAAAACAGTGCTCTTTTATTTCACCATGAACTGAAAAGTATCTTAGTATTCAAATGTATATGTGGCAAGAATATAATGATTCAAACTGACAAGGCACCAGAAGAAGGGCATCACAATATCAATGTTGCTGCTGTTTGCGGTTTCACTGCCGCAGATGCTGGATATTCAGATTAGATGTGTGATCTACCATGAAATATTATATAGATATATCAGCTTCATGGAAATCTAAATAATTTAATTTTTAGTATCTTTTTGGTGATTTTTTTCAAAAACTTACCAGCCCTTTACTATTATTTTCACCATATGTATTATACATTTTTCCACTTTCATTCATGACAATAAGAGAAGAAATATAGTTTCAGTATCTTGAACAACTAATATTAGTGATTAGTTAAAAATGACATTTAATAAGTTACAACAATATCAAGAAAATGCATATTTGGTCTGATTTCTATAAGTTATCTATAAAATATTTGTGTGTGTTTTGATAGAGGTAGTAATTATTTCATTAGATTAATGCAGGCAGTAAGATTTTCTACTCTAGTCTCAAATTTATTATGATTTTAATATAGGAATGTGGTAAAAATCTGCAATTTTATGTAATGTTCAGTCATTTACAAGTTTTCATTTTTTGTCAGTCTATGCATTTTACACCAATAAATAAAAAGTATTAAAGCACTACAGAGGATTCAGTAAGTTATATTAAAATGATTATGAATATACAAATCAGCAAGTCGCATGACAACCACAGCCAATGAAAAGTTGTGATGGAACAGAATGTATCACAACTAGATTTTGACATTGTTTGAAATTTTGTACATTGTGTGATACCACAAAATAATAAAAAACTGATTGCTTTTGGAAATTTTAAAAAATTATTATTTTGGGAAGAGTATGCAACAACCATTTCCAAAGCAACACATTTAAAAACTAAGATCATAAAGCTGTGTTCAGATTGGAAATTTAAAATCTTCAAGAGAGGGATAACCCTTGTACTTAATGGCATTGGAAAACAAAGAAATATGGATCAATTTGGGGTACCAAGACTTTCTGGAAAAAGATTTGTAACAAGTCATACCCCTATCATGATAAGAAAAATGCAGCATCTTGTGACAGGTGAAAATTCACAGACACAAGAGGTAGTGATAAAAGCCACCCACAAAAGTTATTACAATTTAAAAAAATAAACCAACAACAAATTTAAGTAGTAATTGCAAATTTTGCTTTGTTAATGGAAGAATGAAATTAATCTTCAAAAATTTCTTTAGAACACCAAATCCACAGACATTTCCAAATTTAATAGAATCAGTCAAAATAACCTGGATAAGCTTCTACGATGAATTAACACTGAATTATGGACCCATAAATGGAAAAATCAACTTTTATAAATTACACATATAGTATTAAATTCTGGCTTGTGATTTTGTTTCTAAAATATAGGATTCATTAACTCAGCTAATATAAATATCACTTTAACATCCTAATTATGCATAATTTTTTGAAAAGATTGTTTAAAGAATTTAACAACTAAAAGATAATAAATCAATCCAACCACATTAACATATATAGAGCTGACAAAAAATTACAACATTAATAAATACTTAAAAGTAATTTTCAATTGCATTTACATGTTAATAATAAAAGTTAATACAAGGTTTGTACTTAAGAATTAATCAAATATTATGAGTTTTTAGTTAATTAACTTATTTAGTGAGAACTGAACATTGAAAAGTAAAAAATAAAATACAAATCTGTTCTTAACCATAACTGTAAAATGTGTTCAGACTATTTCTATTTCAAGGTTTTCACTGAAATTAATACAATCACTTGAAATGGAGTAGAATTTCAAACATGTTTTTCACTATCTTTTATTAATATAAGAATTTTTAAAAATTTTCTTGTAGTCTGATTCTATGTAGTTTTGACATAATCATTTGGTCCATAAAAGAGTTGAATTGTTTTGTTCTAGTCACTTATGTTGTTCTCTAGCAGATAGTTTCTACTTTACTCATGGCTGTATTGTTTCAACATTGCACAATGTATAAGATAGGACATTGATAACAGTGTCCTTCACTGGCCAAGTAGACAATATCTGGAGGTTCCCCGTTTGATATGAATAGTCAGTGTTTGTCAAAGTAGAGAGAGTTGATTGATGGAAGGTCATCTTGTGAGAATATAACTGTTAACTGATCCAGTAGAACTGTCTAGTTCTACACACACTTAGCAATTTAAGGAATGATTGTTTATACTTTACACCATGTGCCCAGTATATTCACTTTCTTAGCTTAAACTCAGTTATTTGATTAAATTCAGATTCACTCTGCAATTATGTTGCACAAATCTCCATGCAGAAATCAGTTTAACCAAGAACACCATAAGATTACAGGTTAAAAACATCATAAAAAAAGAGACAAAGTTCAGAAATAAAATTCAAATAAACATACTTTTCGGGCAACCAACTGAACAGCATCAGGGTCAAAAGCATTCAACCCTTGTACTCTGGACATTACTATTTCCTGCAACTGTTTGTGAGTGTAGGGTTGAAAACTTATCCTTGTCAGTCCCTGCAAAATAAGATGAAGGTTAAAATGCCTAGCAGGTATATCAGTTAACAGATGTTATATGTTCTTAATTAAACATTTCAGTATACCCACAAGCATTATGTGTGCATTTACAAAAACACTTCATATAAACCCCAAAGAGTTGATTTTTTTTTTATCATACAAAATTAATTTAAAAATTGTATGACCTACATTCCATTTTATACTTTCTTCAATGTAAACACATTATAATAACCACAAAACAACAGTCATTACAGCAACCAAATCATATTATATTAGCTTTTAAATAAAACATATCTTACTAATTCATTACAATATTCTACATGGTAAGTTAATTACATTGATATAAATATATTTTACCATTAAATTATAAATTCTGATAGCATTATAATATGCATAAAAGAAATTTTTTTACGCCATGAATATCTTACCAATCGACTAGATATTCTGTTCAACATAATTTTTTCTGGCAGGTCCATTGTGTTAGCTATAGCTATCACAATAAATTTAGAATGGGGATAAGTAGGCCAATCAAAAATATGGTACATAACATCCTGTTTACGAGTCCACAGAAGGTCAAGTTCATCAACTAGAAGGACCACATGATCTCTTTTAAGCCCCGGCTTTGTAAACCTTTGTTCCAGAAGTTCAGCAGCATGAGAAGTTGTTGCTTTTTCATGGGTCAGTTCCTTAACGTACAAAATAAATCATTCACTAAGATAATCTTTTTATATATAACTTTCATTTCCTCAGTCATATTAATTTTAGTTTGTTATACATAGAACCTTTTACTTTGCACATACTTTAAAACTAAATGGTAAAATGAAAAATTACAAAATACTCAAGAGTAATATGTTGACACTACACTCGATCATCAGAGAGAGTTATGTTGTACACAGTTTTGTCTATAATTATAGAAAATACTGTCAAAAATGGGTGAAATAAAACCACTTTTTGGTGAACACAACAATAAATTTTTTTTTTTAATTCATATAATTACCAGTGCTGGGGTCTTTACTAATACTAGCATGGTTTTAGTTGATTTCAGTGTGCTCCAAACACTAAACATTAATGTATGTAAATTTCTGTAATTTTTTCTGAGAAAAATATGGCTCTTGTAGCTCCTAGGAGGAGATTTTGAACAAAACAGCACTACTTTAAACCTTGTAACTTCAATAAATATGTAGTTTTATCAATTTTAACCAATCACCGTTTCTCAACTTCAACTGTGATGTAATTGCCAATATCTCAATGATCACAGGTTTGTGATCTAAACATATAATGAAAAATTTTTTCAACTGTAAAAGCCATATGACTTCCAGTTTATCAGTAATTTGCATAGAGATCAGAACATGATAAAATATTAGCCTGGTGGCATGTTTCTAGACAAAAAGTAACTCTTAACAACTTACATAATAATTACAGTCTTGATTTTTTTTTAAAGCTTGCCAAAAGCTTGCTTTATCATTTTATACTTCATTTGAATTATGACATTGCAATATGATAGGAAATATTTCTCATTAGACCATTTTGCACTCGACTGTATCATACTCTGTTTCACCTACAATACTGCTGTGTAAGGCTGTATTCATATTAGGCCTTAATAGCCTACAAAACTGCTTGAAAGTGCAAAAATCACTGAAAACAAAGGTTAAATTATATATGAGTATGAAACAGCTATAAAAGTTACTGCATATATTGAACAAAACTTTGCAATTAACAATTTAGAAAAAAAAAGTTGGCTTGTTTATAATTTTGGAATGATAAAAGTTATTTTGCATGGGGTGTTTTTCAAACCAAACCAGATACAAACTTTATAGTTTTATAAAATAAATGCTTTATAGAAAAGTTAATAATTGAAATCCACATTTTCATATAAATATTAAATAAGAAGCTGCTGTATAATCAGTTTCAAACATTCACTTTATTTGTTATATGCAAACCATATAACAGGTGTGTCAAATTGAAACACCAAGGCATTTCACAGTTAGCCAAATCAGAAATTCCTCTAATTACCCACACAACACCATGATGGTTACATGAAGACAACAAAGATAACAAGCACCTAACCACATAAGCTTCAACAGCACAATAAAATAAAAATTATATACAAGTAAACGAAACACATTTAAAACTAAACAAAACAACTACGATTAAATCTAAACAAATACATGCATAACTACTGATATTTATACAACAACAGAAATTTAAAGTTTAAACAAAATCTTAGAAGATAAAAAAACTGGATAGGGATTTTTGTTTGCTTGTTTTAGAGCAAAGCCACACTGGGCTATCAGCTGTGTCCACTACAGGAAATTAATTCCTAGAATGTAGTGTCGTAAGTCCATAAACTTACTGTTGTCCCATCAGGGGACCTGGATAGGGAATTAATACAAATCCAATATAGTTGAATACAAAATCATACTGAAAGAATAATAAAGTTAAACAAAATTATTTAATAATCCTGAACAGAATAAACTGAACTAAATGAATAAACTAAACAATATAAATGTAAATCATAACCAACTGATCACAGAATAACATTGTTTTTCAAGTGAACACAGCTTTACACCAAACTGGAGATAAATATATATTTACAGCAACGAATTACAGCTATCTTTATTTTTACTTATTATGTTTTTGCTACTAAATCCCAGTCCCAATGATACCATGAAGACAAATGTAATCATGAATGGAATTAACCAGAAATGGCCTTTCCAATCATACATTCAGATCACATTTTGTGTTAAGTATAAACTACAATTCCAGTGTCGTAGAAGTAAAAAACAATCACTGACAGAATACAGCAATGAATCTGAGATGCTGTTCTTTCCTGCTACCACTGCCATCTAGAAAACACGAAAATCAAATATCCTTGCATAAACATAAAAAAATAACTGTGGGAAAAAAATTTAGCAAAATGATATATACTTTACCCTGATTAACTACAGATTTCCACTGTCCCTATCTACTATCTAGGGATCGTGCTTGGAAAAACCTCTGCCAACATTTGTCACAACCAGAGTTGATGGAAAGCAAGAATTGCAGTCTTTTTCAGAACTTCCAGTTATCATTAATCAGTTACTAATTTCCTAGAGTTTTATATGTATCTGAGAATATCTTCTTTTCAAGTTGTGCATCTAATAGTTCATAAAGGGTTGTAACACTCTTCCAACTCTTGATCTTTCAATCAATCAACTGAGTTGTTATCACTCAACATCCTGAAAAATATTTTACTGTGACACCACTAAACAGCTCCGAAACGAAATAACTTTTGCCTATATACACCCACCTAAAGTGCAAACAGGGCCTTGATGTTCTTTCCTGTTTTCTAACAATTACAAATGGAAATGATCAAGAACTCTCAGAAAGGTTGAATTATACTATTCTTGAACATCAGCTCAATTTCAGCCCTGGCAATATCCTTGGTGCTTCAAGAAAGCCCATGCAATGTTGTTTTTTTTTATCAGACGTGATCCCACGTATCTGTGCGATGACATTTTATCCAATGGTTCCACGAAGCAATTCACTGAATTAATATCCCTGAATTCAGTTAAAATTATGTAAAATCCTGAGCATAAAGAGCTCATTTGTTTTTGGACACAGTATAATGGCTCAAACACTAGTTTGATTGTGTTAATTCTAGTGAATATTCTATCAGGAAGCTGAATAACTGAATGTCTCTAGTTCCACTCAAACAACTGCATTCTAGACACAAAATATTGTTTGATTCATTTAAAGTGGCAGTAGATTTACTAGATTAGATCCATAGTTTACCACGGAATGCCAAATGCATATTCAGTAGCACACATGCAGTCCATTTCTTTAAAGCTTAATATGGCAAGCAACTGATGTTTTCTTTCACAGGACTTAGCTCAGCTGTTTGCACAAACAAAACTAGCTGACAATTTCTACAGTAGAATCCATCTTGGGATATCAATAACTGAACCCAAATTGGAGACAATTACTTTTTTTGTTTGGTTAAAACTATCAGATATCTTTCACATTTAATTTGTATCTGAACACAATGAGAAGCAAGGGGGTGGAAAGAACCAGGATAGTATCTGAACACAATGAGAAGCAAGGGGGTGGAAGTGAAGGGTCATTCCCACCTCACCCTATGACATTTGTGATACATTTTTAAATTTTCTTAAAGTTATGTATTTTAGACATACAGTGTCTAGGCAGTACATTTAGATTTTTCTATAATGTCTTTTTCAGCTGCACACTTAACTAAAGATAGATTTGATATATTTATAAAATGTATAGAATACTTTGATAAAGTGTTTAGCAATCAATTTCATGGGCTTTTTGAAGGTCAAAATATACTTTATATTTAAAATAGTATTCTTAATTTATCAAGGAAAAAATATTTACTGACTAAAACTAGGCTCCAACCAAATTTGTATTAACTTTGTTAAATGTGTGTGTACAAACCTTTCGTAATTAAATCTGTGTATTTAGAAATACATAAATTAGATATATACAGCTTTTCTAAGTTATTTTCTTCTGTAAACATTGTTCCATGCACACAAAACTTGTTCTAGAAAACACCAGGAAACTCTGGTTTATTTTAATATTACCAATGTTTATCTTAATTTACCACTACACTATATATGTATATGACAAACATTTAGGTCTATATATATGTATTGTTCTAATTAAAGAGAATACATTTTATGATAATTCTCCATTAAACCTTGTATTATAAAATTACAAGCCCTTTTATCACTTTATTAATTTTTCTTCTAAAAAGGTAATATAATTACATACATATAAATGTGAAACTCAGTAAGCATACATATTAATTACATGAAGTTAAAAGTTTTTGTTTATTTGTGGCTTTATGGTGCAAAGCTATTAAAACTATCTGCAGTTATTTTGTTGTATGGGAAACAGAATTACCCTGAGAAACCACCCTTTACACTGGATGAGTACCAACATATCTATCCTAAGCTTGCTAAATATTGATCAATTTCAAAACACAAACAATATCTCTTGTCGAAGCACTTGTTTTATTTTAGCTTCAATCATTTTTAACAAACACACTCATTTCTCCATAAAAGCTCATTTCGGTCTTTCGAAAATATTTTTGACCAAAGAAATAAAATAAACTAATAAATCATGTTGAAATTTGGTCATATTTAAACTGGACTATGCAAAACTCAAATAACTTGCATACATTATTTAATTAATTGAAAAACAGTATTCTGTAATACTTGGGTTTTCACACAATGAAAATTAAACCAAATGCTGAACAGTTTAATATTGTTCATTACAAAAGGGAAGATACCCAATTTCATACTTATTCATATGCAGGGCAATTAAGGTGTTCTTTCTCCCTAGAAGAGTTAAAATGAATGTAATAGTTGCTTTTGACAAAGTTTTTTGTAATGTAGATTTACCTGTATGACCTATGCTCTAGTTTAGTTTAAGACACCTGACCTTTCTGTTATTGAGTAAATTTGGTGTTAATTATTTTTCCTTTATTTTTAAATCAATATCTAAAAACAATCAACAAGTGTTACTTTATTTTTACAAGTTTTTCCTTTAAAAAACATGAAATTTCTACTATTACAATGAGTGGCACTCATATTTCTTGCTTACACTGTAAGTGTGCACTCAATAAAACAGTATGCACTCTGCAAAAACTCAAAGAACTGAGTGAACCTTCACCTAACATTGCAAAACCAGTGATGTTATTCTGTCTCAGACCATATGTACTATTTTTTGTAACAGGGTCGAAAAAACAGAAACTATTTTCTGTTTTTCTACGAGTCATATGGAGCACGGACTATTAACAATTCTTCAGAGAGAGAGAGGGGGTGAATTGTCAATGCAGTTTTCAAACAGATTATTTTTTATCTAGAAACAGTCAAGACTTGCCTGTGAAATCTCATCCTTATTTAACTTAATATTTGCTAAACATATGTGCTCGACACAGGGGACAAAATAGTTTGGTGGATTTGATTAGCAGAATCTGCTAATTAATATCAAATTTTATTAGCAATTAGTAAATATTGCTTAACGTCTTTTTAACATTCATCATTTTAACACATTATGGTAACTAAATCCAGCACTAAAAGTCGTAACTCTTTGTAAAGACATCCATTAACAAAAAAAAAAGGAAGTAAATGGGATGTTCTTATTCTAATATCACTTTTATTCAGCTTCAAACCCTAATATTTAATTGTACCATACATGGCATTTCATCAAAAAAGTAGTTCGTGGTATGTGAAGTAAAACTTCAAAACTGCAAGAAATATAAAACATCTCATTTGTCACAAAATAATACAACAATCAACTGACCAGAGAAAGGACTGACTTGAAGATGCTGAAACTGAACAAGGTTGCCACAAATCGTTTTTCAAATTAATCTAGCTTGTTTCTTTTCATTTTTTTGGGTGAGACCTCTTCACATGGTCTCCTTGGCTTTTTGAAGAAAATGTCTAGTGACTTTTCAGCAGTAATTACCCCTCATGCCACAGCCATCCTTTATTGTGTATCACAAATTCTTTAGTGAGTTCTATTCAAAATATAATTGAACTACTTTTTGTTTGTTCATGTTATACCAATTAGTATAGCATACAATCATAGCTAATATTCCATATTTTAATAGTATACAAGTTTTAAGTTTTTAATTTTATAAGCAATATTAAAAAAAGATCCTGAATTCCCCTAGTGTGAAAAATGTGACATTTTTTCTACAGGCATCCCCATTTCTCTGATTTATTTACCACCCCTCCAAGAAGTAAGAAATTTAACATAAATTACTTACTATATTATTGTCAACACAGATAAAGCATAATTTTCATTGCCTTCAATTTTGTTTGGTTACAGAGCCACCAAATAGAAAATCAGACCCATCTTGCCACACCCACCTCTCACATCCTCTCTTTCAGGATTTGTTAATAGTTCTCTCTTATGTTTAATACTATATTATTTTCAACCAATAAAAAGCCAAGGTTTTCATCTATTAAATCACATATTATATTGCATTGTTTTCTGTACAGAAAAATGTTAATTTCTCTTTCAGTACAAGTTTTGTTCCCACGGGAAACTCATCAACTGGCTTGGATGAATTTGTAACAGCTCTTGTCGCAGATAGAAAGCCTAATCATAGTCTAATCTACAAAATGTATCTGTATGTGATATGCACATGACAGTGTGTGAAAATACTTTATGTGCCATTTGGCAGGAATATCCAAGAAATGAACATCAGCTTTAGCTTTGGTATATCAGACTGAAATATTACAGCACTTGCACTGTTTTATTGGAGGTCTCAAAGAGAATATACAAAAGAAAGGAATGATTCACACACTATGATATGCAAAGAGAAAAATGATTCGCAACTGGAGGTTGTTTTGATTCGTAATTTGCAATGCAAACCCGGATATTTTGCCCCCTGTAATGACTTGCAGTTTATTTTAATTCATCTTTTATTTAAATAATCAAATATTTATTTGCTTATTCTTTTTCTGAAAATAAAATATATATTTTTGTTCACCTCGTCTGATCTCTTTTCTTCCACATATCAAAAATAACTATTGTTCTTCTGCATGCTAGGTCATTGAATCTCCAATTAATGGAAAGATCAGATAAATATATGCATGGTTTATCCTTGGAATACCACAAAATTATGTCAATCTTATAACATTAATGAGTAGTTTTAATACAGCAATCAATGGATTAGATGGTATTAAATAAACTCTATTTCAATCAATGAGTATAATAAGTAATTTACATTTATTATATTATCTGTAACAGTAGTTATTTTCTTTTCCAGTCCTAACCATTATATAACAATCTTATCCCAATTTAAAATAAACAAAGAAACATATGTATATTATTTTTCACTCAAAATATTTATAGAAAAAATTATCTTACACTAATATGTGTTTTCTCAACCAACCTGTAACAACTGAGAATAGAAATGATGTGGATCTGTTAATCTCAATCCATTTATTTCTATGAACTGAAATAAAGGCACTTCTCCACTGTCTCTTGCTTGGGTTAAACATCTCATTACTTCTCGCACTGTAGCAGTCTTTCCTGTTCCTGGTACTCCAGAAATATACATGCAACTGAATACAACAACAAAAAAGGCATAAGGTGATGCATAAAATACACACTGAATGTAATATTGTGTTTTCAGAACAAATTACCTGCATGTATAAATATGTACATATTATCACATGCTTCAGTGTCAACAACTGGGAAACTGTAGTGCTAGGAAAAGGAAGGCATGAAGAAAAATGAAAATAAAGGAACTCAGCAAGCAGAAGAAAAAGGACCTTCAGAAAGAATTCCTTAGCGCCCAACAACAACCTTTGCCTGCTCAAACTATAACAGTGTACATGTCCTAAATAGAACTATACAGCCATACAATAAAGTGCCTGAAGAATTATACTTTTTTTTCTTTCTTTTTTATTTTTTAAGGCCTAATCTATAGTCTTGCAAGACTTACAAATGCCTACTACTACTACAGTAACTTATAAAGCTGTGTGAAGCCTTTTCAAAATCTATAGCAATTAACAAACAATTTAAACAAAGATCTACTAAAAAATCAAAAGAGAAAATACTATTATCATTGTAATATTCTGATCCTGTATGCAATGTTTTGAAAAAAGTTACATCCACCTTTTTCAGGTAGTGCTGAAACTACTTACATAACTACAATAATATTATTAACATTTTTATTTTGTATTAAAAACGTGACCATCAATAGCATATACAAACACAAGTACTTTTCAGTTAATAACATCATCAGTTTACTTTCTCATCAAATGCTCATTTACAGAAGCACATACACAGTATGTTGCTGTTAATGAATAGATGCACTAAACACAGAAGTGTAAATAACTGCAGCCATTGGTACATAATATACTGGTACTCACGAACAGGTGCACTAAACACAGAAGTGAAAATAACTGCACGCTATTGGTACATAATATACTGGTACTCATGAATAGGTGCACTAAACACAGAAGTGAAAATAACTGCAGCTATTGGTACATAATATACTGGTACTCATAAATAGGTGCACTAAACACAGAAGTGAAAATAACTGCAAGCTATTGGTACATAATATACTGGTACTCATGAATAGGTGCACTAAACACTGATGTGAAAAGAACTGCAGCTATTGGTACATAATATACTGGTACTCGTGAATAGGTGCACTAAACACTGATGTAAAAAAGAATTGCAAAATATATAATATGTATTAATCATATTAAGGTTTAATACTTTATTTATGGCAACTATTAATAAAATGAATATATCACCACAAATTAAACATGAACCAAAACATAAAGGCTGAATTGCAATTCATGAACAACCGGGATTATTAGACTTGCACATTTTATCATTTATAATACTGAAAAGAATAAGGTTTTGCAGGTTCAAAAGTACAAATAAATGACAAAAAAAGTAATTTATAATTTAAAAAACATTCGTAGTAAATAGTAAATGAATAATTGCAGGAAAATAAATCAGAATCAAATATTCAGACAATGTGTTCTCTGTGGGTGATTTTGTTCAGTATTGTTTTATACACCTGTGAACTCACTCATGGATCAATCTTTGCATTCAGATACTGGATAGGTGACAAAGAGTGGCGTCATATCAGATATTCCTCTGAAATGAAATTTTTATTCATGAATTTGTTTTTTTCCAGATTATCATCCAAAATATCTCATATTAAACTTGTTTACTCACAAGTTCTTCAACAAAGGAAGTTTGTGAATGTGTCAAACATGTGAAGAGTAGTTTTTCTGTTAGGATTACAGAAAGGACAGCACTTTTGTCCAATCAAAGTTCTACATTTTACCAAATAAAAAGGAACTAGAGAATAATAATCAGAATTTCTTTACCAAGATAATTTTCAGAACTAAAATTTATGACAAAAATCAGAAGCTGCAGATATTTTTTTAATATATTCTTTTTAATTTTTCTAGTTTCAATTAAAAATCGGAGAAATGTAAAAATAGTACTTCAAATCTATTTTTTTCTCCCACAGGTCACTGCCCAAGATTTGTTTTGAATTTTGCGCAAAGCTACACGAGAACTATCTGCGCTAGCAATCCCTAATTTAGCAGTGTAAGAATAGAGGGAAGGCAGCTAGTCATCACCACCCACTGTCAACTCTTGGGGCTACTCTTTTACCAATGAATAGTGGGATTGACCATCACATTTTAACGCCCCCATGGCTGAAAGAGGCGAGCATGTTTGGTGGGACGGGGATCACTGCCCAAGAGCCATTTTATTCAATATCAGAACTCATCGGATGGGCTGGACAATAAGAAACAAGATTCTCTGAAAATGCTATATATATTGTGTAACAGTTACTTGATTTTAATTAAAATTTTAAAGTTATTGCCTTTTTACTGTTTTGGCATTTAAAACATAACTTATTCTCAAACTGCAGAACAATTACTTCCAAATTTCTATCAGTAAAGTTCTTTAAAAATTTCAAATGAGTTCTGAGTCACACAACTATAGGTTATTCTGAGGTTTATCATCAGTACAATTGTTCCAAGATGTGATTATGGACACAGTTCGTAATTCAACCATGTTATTTTTCTATAACTTTCTATATTGACAGAATGCAACTTGACCTGAGAATCAGCTGAATGACAGGCTACAGACTGAAGAAATTGGAAATCCTTCATGAAAGCCCTATGTTCAACACTGCACAAAAAGAGCCAAGTGAATGAGTAAGTTTCTCAACTGTCTTATGTTTATTTTCTTTTGAATTAAACATGAAATTTAGCAAATGGTCTGTGAATAGGTACACCTAACATCCCAATAGGTCAACAAAATAACCTGGGTCAGAAGGATCCAATTGGCAAGAGATAGAAGGAAAGGAGTAAGGAAAGAATCAAAGGCAGTTAAAGAGTGAGGAAGGAAAGATTGGACTGGGAAGAGTGGTACAGAAGTGTGATAGAATAAGTAGAACAAGCAACCATAGGATAGACATCCAAACAGTGGTGGTAGTAGTAGGTAAGAAGCAAGATAAAGAGGAAGCCAATGGGGCATACAGAGTATCATGTAAGCCTCATTAAGGTCTCATTCAGGCATGAGAATAGGGTGAAGAGGACAGAGGAGAAAGAAGGAGTGGAACAGAGTGGAGAGAACAGGTACTGGGAGAGGAGAAAGGACACAGACAAGGTCTCCCAACAATTAGTAGAGGTACAATCCAACAAGCCCATGACAAACAGTCAAGGAAAAAGGCAGAAAGGTGGTCATGTTGATACAGTAGTTTATGATTTTTGATTATTTCAAAATATAAAACCTTAAAAAAAATATTTCATTTCAGATGCGAAATTTGATAAGGTTTAAAAACCTACAGCAAGTAACAAATAAGTACAAAGTTCGTAAATAGGAGAAACGGTTGTTTTCTATATTTCTTTATTTACTGTTCTATGTTTTAAGAAAAATAATTGAAATTTAAGAACTTATATGCAAATAGTAATCACATATATATGTATATAATGCATTATAACTGAAATGTGACTGGATATGGTAACATGAGTGCACGTGCGCCATGTCATTGCAACTTCTGTAATGTTAGTCAAGCTCGGTTGAAGGGTCAATAAAATAAAAATAATAAATATATATATATATATATATAATAGTTATATATTAAGCTATCAGAATAAACATTTGTGTTATAAT